GGCAATTTAACTATTACAAAATGCAGCTTTCTGTCCCGCGTGTTCGATTGAGGAATTACCGTTGCTCCATCGCGAGAGAAGAAACTTCAATTTGGGAAAGACGGTGACAAAGGAAAAGGATCGTGGGTGATGGTGGTCCCGCGGCGTCTCAAAAGGGAAGAATAGAAGTAGTCACAATGGCGGTCCATGAAATTGGGTTCTTTCACAATCGAAACCTTACATTTGGTGTATTACAACCTTTACTTAACCCGGGGGATCCCCAGCTTTCTAAGTCTAAGACGTCCTTGGTGCCTCGACGTTGCATTTACGATACTTGGAACGGTTTTTGTAGCGTCCCTGGCGTCCCAAATGCCCAACCTTGCTTTTGTAGCGTCACCTCCCCGTACTCTCCGCCAGAGGGCTACACTCGTGTCTTTCTCGCAGGTGCTCGACTAACTACCCAATATCGTCTAAAGCAGAGCCTGATGGAGTCCAATAACTTTCTCGTTTCCTACAAACTAGTATAGTCTCTGGTGAAGAGTCGAAAACGTTTTGGAATTCGTTCGTAGCCATCGCTGAGCGATGCCTCGACAGGGAAAAGGTGCAAAGATACCTGGCAAAGCGAGAGAGGAACGCTATAGAAAATGGTAGAGTGGAACGGAGGCCAATACACGACGAGGGGTGGGGGACTTTACTACTCGAGGACCAGGTAAAGGCCCTTGTCCTCTATTGTGCCACGGTTTGAGCTGACGCTAGTGATAGATACCTTTCCTGGCATTATGTGCACCCACACCACCGAACACGGTCACCTTTTACACGGCACAGGTTACCGAACGTAGCACGCCCGCCCTTTTTATCCGTGAATATATCGCGCGGTGACCACAACGACCTGGAAACACGAGAAATCTCGTCTTCCTGTCGATCCACCGAACCCGATACATACCGTCACCCGCCATTTAAGCGTAACCACCTTATCCTCGTAATCATAATAATTTAATCTTTGTTCTCTCCAACCCTCCTCAGCAGGGTGACCAAGAATTCCTCCTCTTTCGTATCATTCATCGCTGACCGGGATGATAGGTTGCATTACGAAAGCAGGAAGTCATTACCGGCAGTAACTCGGCGAAACGGGCGTTTTTAGAGTGGAATATGTAGATCGTCGATCGCCAAGACGATGGCACGTGAAAGTGCTAATTATTATCGATGTCGTTCCCCTTACGTTTTCTCACGAACGTATTCGATAGCCATCGAGATCGTAACCAGAATTTGAGGATACGATTTACGAGACGATCGCGAGATCTAATTAAACGATCGGCGGTTCTTTTTCGTGCATTTCTCGAAAGATTCGGGGAATTGTTTAACCCTGATTGCGGTTGAGAGGCCGGGTCTCTCTGTTTTCCGTGCACTCATCCCTCCGGGATCGTTCGCCAATTTACCTTTACGCCAGAATGCATTCATATGCCCTTTACTCGGCTACATTATGTCGACCATCGACCTGGAAACACGAGAATGCTTGTCTTCCTGGGACGCGGGCACGAAATCCATGCCAATTTTTCGTATGCAGTATTTCTGCAGTGGAAATTCTCGCTGACGAAACCATACGCTGGAGTGTGTCTTTTTTAATCGTATTGCACGGCTTCGGTATTATTGCGTTAAGCTGTTATTCGCAGGTGTAAAATGATTCTTCGTTTCCTCGAGAACTATCGAAAATATTGAACAAGTTTCTTCTACGGAAAACTTGATAAAAAAAGGTGCAGAATAGCATTGTTCTACTTTCGGAACAATTTTGCATAATTTACGTAAGATCTGAATTGTCTTTTACAAGTATACCGCTTTGAATATCTAGAAAATGATTTATACCTTACGGTATTTCGATTTGAACGTGTTTCATCCTCAAGGTTGGCTAGTAACGGGGCCTTTTTGTTACATTCCGCTCACTATAAAGAATGATTCAAAATAGATACTACAGTATAAAATAGGTCAAGACTATCTTGGTAAATGTATAGTCGGTACAAATCTACACCCACGCATCCGATATGGTATCAAAATTTAAATTCAACCAAGAATATTCAACAAGATATTATCTACTAATATTCCCTCGTAAACGATTTCAATAAAATTCTCTAAAAGTATGTCTGTGATTAAAAGAGCACAATGTTTGTGATACAATTTCAATGCATTGTTAATTTGTCACATAATACCGTGCAAAAAATTACCTGTCGACTGCTAATATTCAGACCGTAATACACATAATTTTGTAAAATGAGAAGGTGAAATATCTCGAACTTAAATCTTGTACAATGTAAAAAGAACTCTTACAGTTGGCTGTACGTTGGCCCAATTCCTTGAATTCGTTCTCTATCTCCTCTTATCTACGGGGTTGGTATATCAATGGCCCACATTGTCTCAAGAAAATTTAATCAACGATTCTCTGTTCCCGATTACAAAATCACGATGAAAATGGAATTCTGTCCAGGGCTCGCTATTATCGTCTTCCTTGTTCGTCGCGTACTCGTGCGCGGCGCGCTTTAACAATGCGTACGCACGACAAAACGAAAGGGTCGCGTGCATTGATACGCATGCAATTAAGATGGCACACGGATGCACGCGCGCTTTAATACTAATTATCGGTGGTACACCGGCAACGAAAGCGTTTGCACATAAAGAACGCGCGCTTAACACGAGTCGAATGCGTAAGTCGCTCGAGTATACGCGCCTTTTCGCTACCCAACGGCAGAAAATAATAGGTTATATTAGTGGCCGAAGCCACGGAAATACCTGGCAAGAAATACATAAATTATGTATTGCCTACATTCGTAAGTCGTTCAAACGTGTTATAAGCCGGGAGCCTTAACTTCATTTTTCTAAACCTCTCAATTTCGATATAAATTAAATGGTTTTTAAGAAAAGAATATTTATTTATTACACGAATAGAATAGATATAAACAGAAGTGAAAGAATAGACAAGTAAATAAATAAATCACTGTTTGAAAATTAATTCCGAGAAACGAACAGATTTTTCCAATATGGCCGCGGCGGCGTTATTTATCGCAACATACACACGAGACGTCATCACGGCACGTGCTCAGTATCCTTTGCAATCGTCGACGAAGAGGTCATCGGTTTAACTTCGTTCACACAATTGGGCGGATTAACGTCGTAATAAATCTCAATTAGGGCGGCTCCTACGCTATGCTCTCGACTATCGGAGGGGAGATTTTCGTAGATTTTTATTTCCCCGAGTGTCCAAAGCAGGGCGACAATCACCGTGTGAATCGGTGCAGGTGCTTCGATTAGAGTTCATCAATATGAATACGTATCTCTAGATAAAATCCAGTTAAGAGAATATAATAATAGAAAACAAAACCATTAATAAATCAACATTTGCTGCACTATAAATACATATACGGGGTGTTCAGTCGCCTTTGGGAAAAATTTTAATGGGAGATTCTAGAGGTCAAAAGAATCAATTTGTTGATTGAGACTTCGTTAAAAAGTTATTAAAAAATTAAATTAAAAAATTCCAAATCGTTCTAAAAAAATTATTTTCGGTTGCAGGGGGCAATTACAATCATTTTTGGTGAACAGACATACCCCCGAAATCTTACTCACTTTCGAGAAAAAAATTCGATTAGGTGCCTAATTTTTCGACGAAAAAAAAAATTTCAAATCGTACTAAAAAAATTATTTTCGATTGCGGGGGTCAATTACAATCATTTTTTGTGAATAGCCATACCCCCGAAATCTTACTCACTTTCGAGAAAAAAATTCGATTAGGTATCTAAATTCTCGATGTGACACCCCTTTGGTCTTCGATGCGATAGTTCGTGGTTGAACCTTTCTAGGGTTAATTATTTCAATAATTATTTATTGAAATTGCCAGCTACGTTGGTTCCAATGGTTCGCCTAATTTACGTCGCTGAAGAACACGGCCATCTCTTTCTCAGCGCGACAGTGCAATTATAAAAACAGGCGTATATTTCGTGGTGGTGTTTGGCGGCCATTCCACCGCATAAAACAACTTATAGCCCATTAACGCGAGCCCACTTAACGTTACGCGTACAATCTGCCCTTGATACCATTCATAATGAAGTGCACTGTACACTGCGAGGGCACTATGTATGCTGCCCCCATCGATACCGTGGCAATAAATCGCAAAACCGTGCAATTACCTCCATAATTAAGCGAAACTATACGCGACTACAAAACGTCTAGATACATAATTCTCTACATAGGATTCTTTACTCGATCGAATTTCTTTAACTCAATTTATTTGATTATGAAACAGTTAATTGAGACACTAATTTAACGTGTGGCGTCGTTTATCTTAAAATTATTAGGAACGAGAAGACTAGTACTTTTCAAGAACGGTATAAAGTCAGAAAATCTTCAATTAGTTAATTAACGAAATCGAGTCGCAGATCGAAAGGGAAGTTATCCTTTTGGATAAACGTTCGTTTACTTTCTGGCTGTACGTACACGAAAGCGATTTGGCCTGGTGCCGAGAAATCGTTGTTTGTTCTACTCAGCAATGTTCTCAATGTTTAAATCGCTGCATATTAGGCTTGACCCCTTTCAGGAAACATTCAACCCTGTCGCTGCACATTCACATCGAACGTTCATCTTTGTCATGGATATTGTAACGTTGAGCGTGTATCCTGTTCTCGTGCCAGTTTCGTGACAAAGCGAATACCGTTTGTACGTAATAACGACAGCAATTACCGGCAAGCTGAACTTACGGTTTATTTGTCGTGGAAAAATTCATCGCTAATATGAATTTCACTGAAATACAGCTTTCTAATTAATTTTCGTAGTGAAAATAATAACGGTATTTTCATGAATTATTCGATCGAATTCTGTCCATTGGAATCGTATGTTCGTTAATTTGTTGAATCCTTGCAGCGACGTTTGAGATATTAACGATACGTGATTAAGGATCGACAGCGTGTAAACGCGATCAACGCGAGGAAAACGTGAAACAACACGGTGCATAAAAGATGAAAATGGGCGCGAAAACTCACCAGTGGCGCAGGCGCTCCCAGCGATCCAGATGAAATAAACAGCGGCAAACAAAATCCGCGTCCTCGTGCTCAGGAAGGTCGACAGGTCCGCCACCGCATTTCTCCACGGCAACTCCATGTTACTTGGTAAATTCTGGCTGAACCGCTCTGCCACTTGCACTTCCTTCACACTTCACTACAGAACGTCATACAATCGCACGGCAGAGTCACGCGAACGAATACCGACAATTCCTAGACGCTCTCCGCATTTTTGAGTTCACGTGGCGAGTTCAGCCTCGATTACGTTTTCTTTCGAGAGGCGTAACGGAAGAGCATTACGACGTACACCTGTGAGACAACATTCCTCTTACTTGCACTCGCAGTCCCTCCTCCTTTCAAGAAACTTACGATCATGTAGCATCCGTGCCTATATCCATTCGACTTTCTTGTATTCGTCGGCACTTTTTTTTCTTGCTTTCAGATCGATGCATCAAGTCTAACACTTCTTTTGTCAGATTACGTTTAACGTGTCGCTGAAGGCTTTCTTACGGTTCATCGTAACATTCCAAATATTTGTTGACCGATTATACGCGTATACGCTTAAAACGCTGCGGGATTCGTTAAACGCGTAAACGAATCTCTGTGATTATCGTAAAACGATAGAAAATGCATCGGTTGACAAACGGAATCACACGGAAATATCGTCGCGAGAATAAGAAAAAAGTTAGAGATCTTTGTGGGACGTACGCAATGCTAGTGTCGACGATTTGAAACACGTATGTTAGATAAGTTAAACATTCAATTGTCGGTGCACTTGAATTCACATCTATTGTAATAGTTTAATTTCTAACAAATACACTGTATACGAAAATTATGAACTATCGTGTTTCAATACTTTCTTCTGCACCGTTGTCCCTTCAGGAAAGTCTCAAGTAACGCAGCACAAAACGGTCACATTCACCTGGTAACACCTGGCAACACCGTTAAATTTTTTGGAAATTCATTTACACGTTTTCTTATTAAAATAAAAAATACCCACGGAGAACTTTTCTTATGAAATTCTGACGAAAAGCAGAAACTTTCATAACGCGACGCGTGATCCGAACTGTCCGTGAGTTTCGTTCGAATTACAAAGTTTTGTTGACTGACCGTCATCGGCTGCGTTCACAGGAGGTATAAAGTTGAAATTACAGCCACGCGCATGCCGAACGTCGCCACAGACGTTCAGCCAGTCAGCAAAGAGATACGACGTCCAATCAGAAGTGTTCTGTAATTTGAGATACAGTGGTTGGTATCCACTGCACATTTAGTACAAAAATTTCATTTTTTAATAAAAAAGATTTCCATTAAATAGTTAGCACATTGACTGATGATTATTTGATGACCAACATGTTTACAAAGTGTAAATAAGAAGAGGTAAAAGAACCCTGATACTCGTAATATTTTAAACAATGCTATTGTCATTAGGCATGCTATGCAATAAAAAGTATACTGTTAAACAGTCGAATATTTCTATTTTTCACGCTATAATAATTTGAATAAATATTGAAGACATATCTAGATATGAAAAGCTGCCCTGACAATAACGTGTTAATATTTTCTTATAAAAAATTAATTTATATAGCAGCATAGCTTTTATAAAATATCACATTATCAATATTTTTAATTTATACACAAAACACGATATAAATTTATTTTCCTATACAATTTTCATTTATTTCTTGTTTTCCATAACCTATATCTACACCAAAGGAAAAGTATTAGGTAATTGATTTATTAATAATAAAGATAGAAATAGAAATTTTCAATGTTATGAAATTTTTATTGAATTAAATAAAAATTAAAAGAAGAATCCAAGTATTTTCCCTCCAAGATGTTTTCTCCTAGCTTCTTCATGATCCATAATTCCTCCGCTTGTAGTTAAGACAACGTATCTGCAACATATGAAATACATTACGTATGTAATCAATTATTCTTTATGTAGCAGAAACTTCTAAATACATACCCAAACTGACGAGATGGTAAAAGGTTGTTGGTCCACTTTTCAATATCATTAATTGGAACATCAAATCTAGGTGAAATAACACCACACTTGTTTAACCTTCCACTGAGATTTACTACAACTTTGCCGCTACGATGATCGTCAACAATTTCAAATTCTCCTATGTATCCTAAAAATCATAAAAATAATACAATAAAATTCTAGTATTAAACAAATTAAGTTCCAAAAATGAATACACAAGAATGAAATACATTCTAATGTTAAAAACAAAAGAAAACCAGAGAATACTTATGGTGTTTTCTTACCTTTCCTCATCATAACAGTTAAAAATTTAATGATTACTTTTGAGCAGGGTCTTAAAAGCACCTGTCTTTTTCCACGCTTTTCAGCATTGTTAATGGATTTGAGGGCATCGCTAAGAACGTTCATACGCACCATGGCTGAAAAGAAAATAATTTAAAATTACGTATTCTCTAATTACAAACACAAAAACTGTTTTTCACGAAGTGTATTGATTATATCCATAATATAACTGTGACAACTAAACATAACCTATAAAAAACATAAAATAAGTTTAAGGAATATAATTCTGCCGTTTTACATATGTAAACGTCATAATTCACGTAATGTGAATTTAACATTAAATAACTTTAAATAATACCACTTTCATTTAGTAAACAAAACAATACAACGAGACGACTTGTCTGGTTTACCTCTCTGATCACTTTAAGGCTTACGTTTTTGAACACTATATTTATCAAAATATTACCACTAAATAGTCGATACCTTAAGCTAATATTTAATTTATAATTAATTTATGTCGGATGAGTTTTAAACAAAGAGATTACCTGCGATTTATTATTTTATTTATCACAGCAACGTACACGCTCGTTTAGCCGAACGAAAAAGAGAAATTCGAAGTCAGTGTTACCATACTAACTTCTTGAATTGCTTGCAATTTCATTGGTCAAAATTTTTGGAACTTACCATAATATTGTTGCTAATCGTTGTCTAGTATTTTATGTAATAACAATTAATAACAATAATTCTATACAAAGAATAAGTTCATTATCAACATTATAAATTTGCAATCACGTAATTTAATTTTCTAATACAAGGGATTCCGTTGAATAAAGAAAGTAGTTTGTTCGATAATAAACCAATTTGTCCAAGAAATCATATATGATTGGAGTATAAATAAAGCGAATAAATAATACGTTCCAAGTCACATTTTTAACAATATTTATATTCTATCAACTTTCATTTGTTTTTTCAAATATATTATTTATGGTTGTTATGTTGAGAATGACGAACTACCTTAATGCAATCAACGTAGTTAAGATAGACCAACGAAATGCGCTCATTAAAATCGCGATCTGGTATTCTGTCATTGTTCTGTCGATAAGATAGACAAATTCTTGATCAGAGTGAAGAAGACGTATCGTAGAGGAATACATATAAGCTGTGGTCAATTGGTCGAACGATTGGTGATCGAGTGGTTTTGTCGTTCCGTAAATGCGGATGTGTGTCGTATCAACGACGATTATTGTGCAAGTGCCGAGTACTTGTCGAAACACGAAATCTGAAGGTCGATAATAATCCGTGGTTGAGGAGAGTGGTGTAAGTTAACGGTCCCTTGGTGCTTTCGTCATGCTGTCAAAATTGATGAGGAAGACAGAGTTGACGGGAGATGCTCACTGATATGGAGATTATTGAGAATCCCCTGGTCCGCGGGCCGCCTCTACTTGAAAGGTTTCCCGAAAGTTTTCACACGAGGAACAAGTAAAAAGGTGCAGGTCGTCGGGCAACTATCGGCTGTCTTGTCGGCTTCCCGAAATTTTAACGTCGGTATCATTTGATTCACGACTTGATTCGCTCGTTTGTTTTCTGTATACCTATCATCCTCGAGATATACCGTAACACGTAACGAAATCAGAGGTATCCTCGCTGTGCGAGGTCAATTTTTCGCGATGGCCTCGACATCCAGCACTTCAGCTCAAATATTGATGAATAAGCGCAAACGTGATGCAGCTACTTATATTCATGCTGAATGTAGTAATCTTGACAGTAGCTGTCCACAGCATCTTAATGAATTGTTAGATATACTATTAAATCCTGCTAAACCCATCGATGATTGGGAAACCATCGATTGGTGCAAATGGTTAATGGCTGGTGGTAAAACACCGGATGAGTTTGATAATGCAGGTACTGTACTAGTTTTGTTCCTTTTAACTACAAAAACAGACATTTTTAAGTTCAACGTATTAATTTGTTAGTTCAATAAATATATCATTGTTAATGTTGTATTAATCACTTGCTTAAAACCATTTATATATCTTATGCAATGTATTTATTATTACTTCGTGTGGTTTACATTGTTTCTAGTACAACTCATGAACTACAATTGTTTAAAATAATATTTACATTGCTCAATGGAGACACATGAAACTAAATATTTCTACAAATAATATTGAATTGAAATGCTTAACAAGTTGTTTAGAAAGAGAGTATTGTGCAATTTAGTAATGCGACTAAAGTAAAGAATCAGAAATATCAATGAACTTATTATACATTACTCAACCATTGTTTAACTTTTTTAAGGCAAACATTTTGCTTTCAAAATTATTTGCAATTCTATGATATAAATATTATGAAAATTAGATATTTAACCTAATAATAGTAAACATACATTTTTACATACCATTGAAAATACGAAAATATAAATGGTTTAACAAATAAGACAACAAGATTCATGAAATATAATAATTATTTTAAATTTGGAAAAGGGAAACTGAAGTAAATGTTCATTTGTAGAATAATATTAAATAATTATAATTTCAATTGATATTAACCGGTTTTGTTAACATTATTTAATTGATTTCTGATTAACATATAGTAATTATACAGTATTAAATAAATCTTTACTTATTTAAAAGAATATGTATAAACATTTCAGTAAGGATGTATGATAATGCTACAACATGTGGACTGGTGTGGACTCCCAACTTTGTAGCATACCGTTGTCGTACTTGTGGTATATCACCTTGTATGTCCTTATGTGCGGAATGCTTTAAAAAGGGCAATCACTATCGCCATGACTTTAATATGTTTCTCAGTCAATCTGGAGGTGCATGTGATTGTGGTGATACATCGGTTATGAAGGAAACAGGGTAAGAATTTTAATAAATTATTTGCTAGACAAAGGTATTCATATTTTATTGTTATAGATTTTGCGACAGACATAGTCCAAAAGCTGCTGCTTGTAAGTCTGCTGCACCTTCGGATTTATTATGCGTGGCAGAAGCAATGATGCCACGAATAATCCTTCGTCTTATTCAACATTTACGTGAAAATTGGTACGTTCATCATTTTTATAAATATAATTAAAATTATAAATAATATATATTTAGCGTATAATAGTTTCCTATTTTATTTATTTTAGTAAGGCTGGTAGACCAGATTATAGAGTCGCTATTCAAAATGCGGATGGATATGTAACCATGCTCCTTGATTTGAATAAGATGGGTGCATTAATGAGGAATGTTATGACATCAGCACTTACTGATTCCCAAAAATATAAAAGTCTCATGGATCCTTCTATTTCGACTGGACAACCAGAATATGATCTGTATTGCCAGGAAAGTAATAAAATATATCAAGAAGCAGTGAAGTGTTTACCAAATCCAGAACCACCTGATGCCTATAAAGGTCAATTTGTATACACTTTATCGACGTATGTTCATCAAGTTTTATGTACATATTTTTTTAAGAAAAAATATTTCTGTTATTTCAGATTGTGCACCATTGCAAAAACATTTAAAACATACTACCTTCTTAGAAGAATTAATGTTCTGGATAGTTGTTTATGAGTTTCCGCAAAAAGTAGTTTGTGTGCTATTGAACATGTTACCAGATCCAGATTACAAGGAAGCACTTATTTGTGCTTTTGTACTACATTATAGTAGAATCTCGATGATGCTTGAACGTTCAGCTGATCCTGATACTTTGAGCAACAGAGTAGTTCATGTTAGCGTACAGGTGGGCTTTACGTGAAAGTAGTATTTTTCTTGCAGCAAAGAAATTATGTTTTACACTTTTATATTTTATTTTTCAGCTTTTTAGTAACGAAAGTCTAGCATTGAGAGTGCTGGATCGATTAAAGCTATTGCATGTTATGGTTATTAGTTTGAAATATATGATGATGAAAATTCTGATTCAGAATACCTTACATGGTATGTATTTCTAATGATGTCATAACGTTGGAATGTATGCATTGAAATAATGTATAACTTCTTTTCAGATATAGACACAAATTTTCACTACGTAGTAGACTGTGGACGACAAGTGATGAAAGAACATTGTTATTGGCCACTTGTGTCGGATTTAAATAATGTTCTTTCACATAAGCCTATGGCTATTCGATTTATGAGCGACGATTCACTTTTGATAATGTGGTTTGACTTTCTGTCTATGTTTCAAGGTATTTGCCGGTCTTTTGTAAAATACAATTATCAAGTCGCATAAAAGAACATATCTAAAACTGTTCCGATGCTTTTGTTACAGGAATGAACGTGAATCATCGAGAAAGAAGTCTACACGTCGAATATGAACCTAACACGTACTATGCAGCATTCAGCGCCGAATTGGAAGCCAGCGCGTATCCGATGTGGGCTTTAGTTTCCCATTTGTGTGGTCCAGAAAGTGTAACCCTTAGTCGGAGAATGCTTATGTTTTGCCTTACTGCTTTACAAGATTGGCTAGATGCTGTGAATTATACGCATTCGAATGATGTAAGTATTTAACATTTCCCAAAGTAGAGGTATATTTTTCTTATATCTATCATTTTAACTGCATACAAAAACATTTGACAATGAGTTTCAATGGTAACATCAAGACATACTACATATGACTGAAAAAAGATTACGCGTTGTTGAAATTTAATAACAGTATTTTATTTTTTCATTGTGGTATAAGTTCTTCAATGACTAAATGTATAAATCGCACCGATTGATCGACAATGAACAACACGTGAGTCCTTAATCGTTTGACATGAACGCATGTACAATTACTTGTGCGTTCACGTCTCGTCCATTGTTGTTCACTCGGTGCAATTTACAAGTCTAGTCATTGAGGATATGTTGCTCATAATACCTATCACAATGAAGAAATAAATAAATATAATTTTAGTCATCCAATTAGTTTTTTATTACTAACCTACGAAAGACCAGAATACAACTTACCGAGACGTCGATCGATCGATCGATTAGGAACGTTTTCACAAAAATTTAGAAGCTATTGATTTATAAACTTATTTGATATTGTAACGATATCAATCTCAACCTGTTTCATTTATGATTTTATTAGAATTTACATTTAGTTTTTTAAATTGTACCACTAATTACACTAGTTCTTTAATTTTTTTTTCGCATTTGTTACAGAGTGATAGTTTACAAGTATCGTTTCACCTTCCACTTCATCGATATTTTGCAGTATTTCTGCGTCAAGCTGTTCGTCAACAAGGAGCTACACTTAATGATTTGTTACCTCCTACTGATATGTTGCATCTTTTAATGATGCATCCCTTACGAGTTCAGGTGAGTATACTTTTCTATCTGTTAATATTCATAGATTTAGTTGGCAGGGTCATAAAATGAATACTTATTTTCCAAATTTGGCTAAAATGTATTTAAAAGATATAAAATATTCTTCTCTTGAGGTATCGTCATTAAAAAGAAGAAACAGATTTGTAAAAATGCAAATGATACATTTCTCTTACAAGCTATGTATATTGTATACATATATGTGCATGATGGGATTTAACTCATAATATCATATATATAATGGCCTTACTTTTTATTTACGTATATTTATTACAAGTATAGGTAATCTCGATTTTAAGAAATCAATTTAAATTGAAAGAAACATACGGGATTAGTAAAACATTAGTTTAATTTTAACTATACGAGGTTTCAAATATTATAGACATGCTAAAATGGCACAAAAATGATAAAAAGAAAAGAAATTATTTGATGAATGACTACATAAAAATAGAATTGATATCCGTACATTTTGTTATTCGTTTCACAAATTTTACAGACGCGTATGAAAATCGAATACAAATGATATCATTAAACATAAGAACAATGAGGAATATATGAAAGTAGAAATAATGTATACATAGTAAAAAAATATCTAAGAATCGTAAATTATTAACATTACATTTATATGACTAAATTTATACTGATTTTATTTCATTTAGTATTATTGGAGTATTAATAATCGGTTGCGCGGGTGGCAAATCAACTTGTAAATGCGAATTAAAATCATATGTGATTAGTTTCAACGCCACGAATCCTCCAGATGCTATTCTACCTTTATGGAAAATTCCGGCACCCGCGAGTGGCACTGGTGGATTTGGTACCACTGGTTGAATATCGAGGAACGGTATTGTGTTTTGTGCAGCATCATATACACGATCGCTTGGCGCAAAATTCAAATATTGATTTTTCCCTGAGTCTGGTAATGAAGGTGTAGGATATCGAATCGGAATATCGGGTTGTTCTAATTTCAATTCAGTTCTACAAATAAAAAAGATGGATAAGTTAGATCAAACTTGAAGTACAAAAAAAAATTGTTAAAGCAACAATAAAATAAGTTGTACCTTGCTGTATTATCATTACTCAGCCAGAAACTCTTTTCTAACGGTTGTATTAGTTTTCCTGTTGTGAAATTGAATGGCGTCGCCATTATTTCTAAATTCAAGCGGGATCCGATTGTTCGAAATCTGATACCTAGAAAACAAACATTTCGTAAATATAATTTTCATGGTTAAAGTAGAAAGTGCATAATTTCTACAATGTACCTGTTAGTAGGTGATCTTGAGCTGGCACCAAATCATCTAAGTCTAAACCTCTTTTTTCCCATGCTAAAGTATGGTAATCAATGTTACTCTTTACATCCTTGTCTAATATGTGGAAGGCGTCGATCGGTTTCCAGGCGATAGTTGTCTCATTGATATATCCACGTGGCATTAGATTACCTTCTTGTATTTGTATGTGTATTATTTGATTTACTTTCTTTAACGCAACGCCTGTTATAACCCTGTAACGAATTATTTATTGTTGTTTATAGGATTAAGAATTTTTATGAAATTACCTATAATGAAATATTTACTTGTTATTCGCGACGTCAGACGTGACTTTTTGCAAACTGAAGTAACGATCAGATTTCGTGGTATTATCATCGCAATAGCAGAAACAATAACTGCAATGCCAGAACAACCAACGCCACCAGCTATCGACTTTAGTAGTTCCAGCTTCACATGTGCTCTTTTGTCCAAATACGCGACCGTTTTCATATTCTATATGTTCATATCTTCGGCTACTGTTTGAGGGCTAAAAATCCATAAATTTATTGAGTATAGTATCCTCTATATGTAGCTCAGTGTAAAACGAAGTTAAATTTACCGAAGGACAAATCCACATGTCCGAATCTATGTATTCACAATTTAATACTTTGCCATTGCATTGTTGCTGCCGAGAACAGAATTGATTTTTATAGCATCCTTGCACTTTTGTGTATGAATAATATGCACAATTTTCTTTACAAGATGATTGCCTATTCAAATCTACTTCGTTTACAATATACCCTTGGAACAGTTTTGTCATTTGTGTATATGTTTTATCTGTAAGAAATTGCTTCGTTCAATTATGTTTATTCCATGAAAATGGATAATCAAGTAAATATACCTAATTTTTGAACTCCAGCATCACATTTCCAAAGATCTCTAGGAGCAAAAGCCATAGCAGTTTTCACTGCTCTTACGGTTTCCAATGTTCTTGTTGTATATTGTTGCGTTACTAAATCTATTTCTTCGCTGAAGTTAGAACCTACATTAAATTTGTTACATTGGTTAGTCTATTGTCGCGAAGTCAATGTCGTTTCGAAAATAACAATGAATTGTATATGTTACATCCGATAATTGCTATTTTATACCTGGATTGTAGAGTCGTAGCAACATGTAAGAGAAGTGTATCATACTGTAGCCTTTAATTTCTGTAAGGGTAATCGTGCTATATAGATTGTAGAGTAATTGTTGCAGCGATTGCTGTTCACTGCAAATTTGTGAGGATGCATCCTATATGAACAAAGTATAAATTTAATTATGCTTGTATATGTATATACATATGTCGACGTAGAGTCGTTTGATTTTAGTTAATTTAATGAAAAAAAAAACAAGATAACAAAAAATATGCAAAGTTATACCTGATATGAAACCATAAACAATTTATCATATATTATGAATTCAGCTATACGCGTTAACGCATTTATTATGGATGCATTTGGATCGTGCAAAATAGTTTTCGAAAAATCTGCTAGTTTCTCTAGATCAAGGTACACATTCTCGTCGATAATTTCACGTTGCATTTGCCTAAAAACGTTATACAGTCCGTCGATGCTTTTTAGCTCGTTCTCTGTTCGGGCCCATAGCCACACGGAATTCAACGAATTTAAATATTCGTAACCACCGCTTGGAAACTTCTGTTCTAGTTCGTTTCCGAAGGCCTTGAAAGTCTTTATAAGGTTCAGATATTTATCGTCTTCGAATCCTATAACGCTTAACCCTGCCTCCGATAAATTTCTTTCCAACGTATACTCGAGTTGAAAGAGTTTGTATCTCATTTCATCGATTCTGGTGGCGTTGTTATTGAAAGCACTTCTTACTCCCCATATTACCGAGAGAAAAAGCAAGCTTGCGATGACTTTTGTTTCCTTCATTTTCTATTTCTCAATGTGTCCTCGGTTTCTTGTTTCTCTTTAATTACACAGATATACGTGCAGTCTCTATTTTCGATCCATTATACTCTGCTATACCTACGCGTGTATATGCAGATTATAAGTCTCAAATAATGATACGTGCGATCTGTAGTCTCTCAGGTTTCAATTTGCAACTTGGCAACGAATCGAATAAATAAAGTAAATTATTTTCTCTGATAATTCATTCGACGACGTTGTCTTCGATTATATCAAAATGAAAGGCAAGAAAGCTTTAACGTATTTGAAAAGATCAATATTGAAACAATTGGTTTCGTGTAATGCCCTTGAAACTTCGGGGAACAAAAACATTTCAGTAGCGTAGCATAATTTTTACGACAATAATTGATACGTTTGTATATGCAGTATAGGTATACATAGATAACTTACGCTCACATAAAGCGTGCAGATCTAAGGGTCAATTAAAAATGATATCGCATGTTTCACATCATGAATCTGTTCTTGATTAGCGTTCTTTTTCAGTCGATTATATTTCATTAAGTTAAAGTGAATCACATCCGCGTATAATTATTAACACTTCCGGTCATTTAAAGCCTTTCAACCAGAATCAAAATTTTATGAATTTTATTTTATCGAATGCAATTTTTTTATATGCGACGTTATTAATTTCTCACTTTGTACACATTTTTCGAAAACAAATTGAGAAAATGTTGTAACTAAAATTCTGTTTATTTTAATCGGTATCTAAAAATGTTTGTAACTGTGTTAGAAAATGTAACGTGTTTATTACAAGGAATGAAAATAATTGAAAAAAAAAAATCAGTTCGATCGTATTAGAAGAAGTTACACGTAAGGTTTCTTCATACGCGGTGCAAATCTTATTATACAGATTTGATATATGATCTTATTTTACTTGAAAAACCAACATTTTTAAACAATAACTAATCGTATAATTTAATATTTTCCTTTTTTAATCGCTAACTTTGTAAGCGTTCGTTGCATTCCACGTAAGTCGTGATGATAAAGACTACTCTTTGTTTTGGCTAAAGCGATGTCGCACAAAAGGTATTCTCACGGCTGAGATCGCACGCTTGCATAACTTACAAAACAAAAACCGTAAAACACGCCTAATAATTACTGTTTTTAATACATTTTTAATTATTTACACGAAAATTCAAGTCGTTCTTTTATTTAAAAAATACTTTCCACGATGGAATCAACAAAGTGAATATAAATTTTAAACGTTAAAATCATTATCGTAAGATACGCGAAATTGTAATACGGTCAATTGATATTTGTGTGAAAGAAACGCATGTGTGTAAACATCCGAACGACACAACAAATATAACGTTGTGAGAAACTTTGATCGGTACTGTTATTCCTTTACGATGTCATAGAGCAAAACCTCTAAACCGCCTCTGTAAGACTCAACGATATTTGCATAATTTCGAAGACCTCTCGAGAACGTAACAACAAATTTTTCTCATCGAATCCATATTGTTCTCAAAGGCATTCACATTAAACGAATGGAAAGTAATGTTTCGAAGTAATATAGGTCGCTGAAGGTCAATGGAATCGATCGAAACTGTTTCGAAAACAATTAACAAACATTGAAACCTGAGACACTGTTTGAGCACAAATTCTCGTATACTGGTTACGGTTTGAAAGTTCATTAATTGCAAACTGTAGTTCTGAACTGTCTGAATCTTTGTCACAATATGTACCGTTTCACAAACATTCGTTCGGCGATCGTTTCTCGGAAATACAGTTGCTAAGCGTGTTTTCGATACAACGACAGAAAACGGCTCAGCGAACACTTTTCTCCGCTTGTTCGGACTCGACTGAAAATTTTCTATCATTCTCTCGTCATTTCACTCAATGTTTCTCTCTCCCCCCCCCCTTCTCTTAGAATCGTTCAGGCTTTAATGATGCATGTATCTCTGCGCATGCCCCTCTTCATTCTTATTCTCCTCGCGTTCGTATAAAGTGCATTGTATCGTCAAGCAAAACATTATACACGAACTTTTCGTTTCTATGAAAATGTTAGCGTATCCAGGAAATGAAATGTGTTTTACTTAATCACGAATGATTTCTTTTTTTTTTAGCGAAAATTATTTTGTATTTCGTAAACGATATCTATTTCATACACGTAACCGCATCGCAATTGTTCATTATTTTTCATGAAGAAGCAGGAAAAGCGTAATTTCTATAATGGTTTGGTAGATAGAATCTGGCACAAAATGTGTTTTTACATTTTCGCTTGCATTGTTTCCTTTGTGAAGTTTATCGTGTAAAGTGTAGTTTGAAACTAGATAAGCTGAGCAAGATGTATAAATGAGCACCAGGCAAATATGCATGATAGACGTTTCAGTATTTTCTCATACTTTTTTTTTGTATTAGAACGAATTATTTATATTTATATATCATAGCCCCGATGTGAAACATAATATTTTTTATTATTATGATTAATTCGCGATTTAGTACCATGATTAATATTAAAGACTTCGTCGTAGTTAATTTGTTACTGCTTCAACGCTGTATCTGCGATTCTATCTAGCTTGTAAATTGAATAGGCGCTCACTGTCTGTCGGATGTTACCCGATCGTTACAATATTCTCCCGTGCCTAATACCCCTTTGTGCTGATTAGTTACGATAGGGTTCTTGTTACAACATTCCACTAGCAGAAATTCTTGTCTCGAGAATAGCAACGATCAAAAAGTCACGTTTAATTTTCATAAATTTAAAATATGATAAGTTTGTTTACTTTACACGTAAATATATAAAATGTGAAAAACGTTAACAGGTATTTCTTTAATTCTTCGTGAAACAGTGTTCCATGAAATTAGAAAATTTAAATGATATTCGAAGGGAATTTAATTTTGATGTCTGAAGTTTTATTATTACTTACTCTCATTTGGTTTGACAATAGCACGAGGACACTTTTTGTGAAGAGTTTATCGTTCGTAGGGACAAGCAATCGATGAATACTCTTTAAAAGATCAGGTAGAGCGCCCGATCTAGACGAGACACACGTTGTGGCAAAATCCTCCAATGTGTATTTCTCATATTTCCTTTGCGTCTTGGCGTATATCAAGAAATTATTATACAAATCGTTAATTTGACCAACGTATTGATCAATTGTCCGTAATTTTTGATCCAGTTGCTCTTGTAACGGCAACTCCGTTAGAAGTTTGGCCACAACCATGTCAAAGCGTATTTCCATCCTATCTTGAAAAATATTAATTTTACTGGACACTCTCGATATTCGATTCTGTATTTCCTTTTCCATTTTGTTAACAAATGGATAACTGACATCTTCATTAGGATCTCTGGGACGTATTAATTCCCACGACTCAAGAATGTCCATCATTGTTTCACGACCGAATCTTACTAACTCTCTTATATCCGTAACACTATAAGTCTCTGAAAAATGTCCGTTTGTAAACTGTCCTAAACTAATTAGGACGCAGAAATAAATGATCTTCAAATTAATTGCTTTCATCTTCGTCGGTTGAATTCCAAACTTCTGAACGAAACGAATTTAAATAGAAAGTAAATCACGATCTTTGCACATGTATACGTATATCACTTATCATGCCCTGTTCCGTTTCTCGTTTTCTTTCTTCGATGATCGACGCTTGGTTGATTCGTTTCTCGTTTTCTTTATTAATACCACAAGTTTTAAAAAAGCTACAAATAGACGACGGAAAGGAACAAAAAATATTTTAGGAAAATACCCTTAGAATTGATCGCGTGTGGAAGAATCCCGTCCAACTCTTCCGAAACTGGGTAGATCGTCCTTCGTCCATTAACGGCTGAGCCGTTACAAACTGGCAACACAGCATTTTGTAGCCTTCCAGTGCTGGGATTGGTCGACTTAGTGGGGGAACCCATGAATATACGTGACGAGTAGCGATTGTACAATGATCACGGTGCCTGGATATTTCAGAATTCATGATTCATATTTTATACTCCCCCATGTACAGCATATGTTTTTCATATATATATAACAAGACATATATATTTCTTTAATCTTAATTATATGTATAAATATATTTCTTTACTTTATGTATACCTTTGAATACTTTAAAATAAAAGTTATTGAAAATCTTGTATTTTATTCTTAATATATCTGTATATGTTGTATGATAGTTAGGAATCAAAGAAATAATTTTTGATAAGACACGATAGAAACGATATTGGGCCAAGTACGAGACTGTTTAACGAAAATTCCGTTAGATATTTATAAATAATGCATATATTGCACGATAACGCTTATAGATATGAAATTAAATAATACACTTCAATAAGACTCCTATCAATTTTTTAAAAATTTATTCTGTAGATTTCTTTCTTTTGAACTATGTTGAATGGATATGTTTATTTAGGTTGCTTTCTACGAAATTTTGAACGGAATATGGGTGCGCAATGGACTTCAAATTAAAGGGCAAGCTATGACTTACATACAATGCAATTTTTGTAATTCGATGGTGGATGCAGATCTTTATCTTCTGCAAGTGTGTGCAACCAAATTGCAACCAGATGTCTTTCTAAAAACAGTCATTGAAAAGTAATTGTCCTGATGTATTAATAAATTTATTGTTCTTACATTTAGAACAACAAAATAATCGTTATTTTATTCATTCAGGTTTCATATAAGGGAATGGATGAGTCCTCGTTTATATCATCGACGTCAGAATGAATACATAGAAGAACATACTAGTCCCATGTTAGAAAGCTGCTTAACATTTCTAGCTACATTAGTTAATGTTCGAACAAATCTAGGTAAGGTTTTATGTTACTTTCTTATCGATCGAATAATTGTATAAAACTAATATATGTATAACTTGCTCCAATGTTTGTTTAGGTTTGTCAGATCCTGAGATGTCGTGTATGGAAATGGTTACTTTATTAAGTATGGGTGACAAGACTCATAGTCAACTAATGGAGTTAATGCCAGAACGATGTGGCACCACTCAAACCAGAAATTTTGAAGCTGTATTGGCCGATGTACGATTTATTTTCATTATTTATATCAAATGTTTATTTTTAAATAAACGTAAAACTTCACTCATTCAATATGGTTTACAGATAGCGCAGTACAGGGCTCCAAATCTAGAAGCTAGTGGAAATATGCAGCAAGGAATGTATGGCCCTAAACCACGTGTTTGGGAGGAATTGTTTGATCCTTTACACGTTTCATTAAGAGCAATAAACAGGAGAGATTATCAGATATCAATGGACCGTTTTACCGAATAGTGAGCAATAAGTTTTGCCTAAATAATTTTTTTTTTTAATACTAATTTTATTTTAATTTATTCTTTTTCAATGATCATTTTTCTTTCAGTGTCAAACAATCTGGCAAGTTAAAAAATAGTGCAACACCATGGCCACCATTTAGACATCCTGCCCCTGTTTCACCCGATTATGATGATCCGCGGATCGTGTTGCGCACCAAAATTTTTCATGTCATGATTTTAATAATTCTTTACAAGGCTGTGTACGGGCATAATATATCGGAGCATGTCATGGCACTGACTATATACCTATTAGAAATGGCAGTAATTACTGCGGAAGTACCAGACAAATCTGTAAGTAATTAATAATTTCATTTGTGTTCGATAATTCTAATTTCATTTCTTTATTTTCTTTCAATCAGATGAATCCTTTATGTCAGTATACCGGCGATAAGTCGTCTCGTATAATAAAAAATATGGATCTAATCAGTTGGTACAAGACTGATAATTTGTCTGAAAATCTAAGAACTGTAATACCTAGAGTTATTAAAGTCCAAGAGTCAGAGCCAGAGCCAGATAGCTCGGACAGTGAGTAAACTTATTAATAAACTACTTATCTTTACTCGTTCCTCTCATTTAATGTTTACGTTTTACATTGAATTGTCTTGTACTTCTCTTTCTTCAGGTGATGTGGAATGGGAAATTCAAGGTGAAATGACTGAAGTCGCAACTTCACTTATGTTAAATGCTGGAACAAATGAAAGCTCCTTGGAAGTTTTGTCGCTTCCATCATTACCTCCTTTATCAGCTTTACCCAGAACAAATAGTAAGTTTTAATTTTTAATTTTTCATAATATTCAAATTAAAAACAATTGAAATACAGCTAGAAAAAACAAATTGTAATAATTTGTAGCTCGATTTCATATGACTATTGTACCTGAAGATGGAATTGTTGCTATATCAGATACTGATAGTGAAGATGACTTAATTCCACTACAAAGAGCTTTGCCACCATCCACCGAAGAAGAATCCATGGCTATAGCACTTGAATCATCTCCATCAATCAGTATGTTACATTCTGTCTTTTTCATTTAATTTTGGTGTCAAAAATTTTCCTACAATTTTTCCCTTATTCAGCCACTGGTTTGGCTAGATTGCTAATATTTTCTTTTCATGAAAAGAAACATTGTTAATATTTATTAATTTTATATAGATATGGTCAGCGGTCAACCCGCGTTACCACCTGCACCTCAGCGGCCCGTTGTTATGGCTGGCAATGAAATTGTTCCTGCTCAAACAGTTTATTTGAGATTGAGCACTTCCGAAATAACAACAACAGAAATTGTTCCATCTACGTCAGAGAGAAGAGAGCTACTGGTAATGATTCACGTTTATTTATATTACACTATATACTTTTTAATATATCATCGCTTCAGTTTATTATTCATACGATGAACTTCTTTATTTCAGGGCGGACAATTACATCCAAAAACAGTGAAAGCGGGCGAGAGTATAATTTCGTTACTTTTGAGGTTGCATTCGCAATTATCGGGCGTTCCAGACAGTTATAATCCGGAACAAAGTGCAATGTTGGATAACGAAGCTAGTAGTAGTTCAGCTGCACAGCCAAAAGAATCAAGAATCGGTGATGGCCCATTCTTTATCTCGCAGCTACTTAATAAGATAGCAAATCTAGATCCCATGTGCAAAGATGCTATTATTGACACTAGAAACAAGCTATGGCCGCGTATGCAGGAGTGCGAAGGTAAACAGCGAGAAAAAGAACATCAGGAAAGGGAAGAAAGACGAAGACGGGCGAAAGAAAGACAGCAGAAACTTATGGCTGAGTTTGCTAATAAGCAGAAGCAGTTTATGGAACAAGCAATGAAAACAGGTAAAATAAACACGAAAACTGAATATTGTTAAAAATGAATTACTAAATTGACTTATAACTTGCAGAGGAAGCAGGTGTGTCCGGTATGGATTGGGAACAAGACGACAATACAACCAAATTAACTAGCAAAAAGGAATATGACTGTGTTATTTGCAACCAAACTACTCCCAGCAGCGAAGATGCACCAATGGGTCTTGTTGTATTAGTTCAAGTAATAAATAAATATCTCTAGTTAATACCAAATCCTTATTGCGATATCGATGTAACACTTTCTTACGTATTCTGATTTTAGGCAACAAGTGTTATTGGTCATGAGCGACAACAACCGGACAGACTGGTCTTCCCTACTTCTGACGATGATCCGCCTATACCAAAGGGTGACACACGTGGTGCCTATTTTGATCGTAGATTGGATGAAATGAATCGCCATTTCGATGCTGTAAATATTGAAATCTTAATTCGTGATACTCAGAATATAAAATGTAAGTTGCGTAAACTTTGTATTTGATCATTGTAGGTTTCATGGCTATTGTCTGTTAATTTGGGCTGGGAAGGCGGTGTTCATGTTCAAACATGCGGACACCACTTGCATCTAACTTGTTTAAAGTCATATCTACAGTCTCTTCGTAACCAACAAAGACATCAAAGTCTTGCAGTGGATAGTGGCGAATATTTGTGTCCACTTTGTCGGCAGTTAGCTAATTCTGTTCTCCCACTTTCTCCGCGGCTGGGAGATCGTGCGGCAGTGGTGCGGTCTTACCATACCCCTTTTGCTACAATACTCTCGCAATTAAATAATTTTTTGAAAGAGATACAACGAAGTCCAGTAAGTTTATGAAACTTTATTTAATCAGATTAGCAATGGAACTAATACTGTATTGCTGTATAGGTTTCGACAAATTTGACTGCGGAAATGGGAAGAGCTATGGAGGATATGACGAATTGCACATATTTCCAATATAAACAAAAGAACTGTTCTCCTAGTCACCAAAGCTTGTTCCTCTTTGTAACTTCTGTAGCTCGAACTAATTTTGAAGTTGAACTTGTTCAACGTGGTGGATCATTGTGCATCCCCCCACCCAATACAATACCCTTGACGCCAAAACGTGATTGCATCGGTAAGTTCGTTTCGTTATTAACAATAAGTTATTGTTGCTCAGAATTTTAGCTGTCTAAACAGATACTGGTTTAAATCAGAGATAAGATAGAATACTATTTTATTTTCAGTTGCACTTCTTCATGTTTTGGCCATGCATGCAACAGTATTGACAGCGTGGCCGGTACATCACACTTGGCAACAGTTGACTGGAATACCTGTTGTACCTGCGACGCCATTAGCTCTCACACCTCACGAGAGGGAAGTTCCTTTACTTCTCAGAGATCCAACTGCACTTCTTATACAATTTGTATTATTGCTTCCCTTGCATTTGGATCAAAGTATGCGCATAAATGTTCCACTTATACATTTACATTGCTGGATTTTTTAATTACTGGTACGATTAAATAACATATTATTTTCAGCGTATTTCTCTAGCGTGGTAAAAGTAATATACAACTTATTGTACTATCAAATAATGTTACAAATAAGTTGTGGGTTCACGCAAACAGATAGAAACGCAATTATGAGGAGAATCAAATGCAATGATCTGATGCCGTCAGAAACTATACTTTGTAGAATTATTGAATATTTCGATGAGAGTGCGCTCTATCGTTCAGACGATGTTGCGCCGTACGTAAGAGATAATATGGACATCATCGAGATGCAGGTTGGTGCGAATAATTGATAATTTAATTATAATTGTTAGGATAATGTAATTGCTCTTACATATAAAAAAAGTATATCAATGACTACCTTCTCCCCACGATTATAATTGTACTTATTGAAAAGTAATCACAATTGAGTTTTTATCGTATTCTTGTTATATATTATTATCATTGCATCTTTAATTATGTTATTTCAGATACGATCTATGTGCTTGCCATTCTTACGAGTAGCTGCACTGCTTCGCTATCATTTATATGAAGAACCTTTACCCTTAGTTAGGACACCACAGTCTGAATACACGAAATTAATTCATTACTTGAACTTAGTTTCTAGAGATACAAATTCGTCTACCTTCAATTCGTCGCAAACTTTGAACTGGCAAGACAGCGAAGCAAGTGTTTCGGTACCTCGTCTATGGTGTGATCAGTTGCTTGCTTTTGTAAATCAAAGCGATGCAGCAAGAAATTTAATAATGGAACAACACATATCATGGCAGGTACCGAAATTACTCAGTCTTCCGAGGGAATACGAGAAAATTTTTACGGTAAGGATTATATAAATAAAAACGTATCTATAGCTATTCAAGCGTCTTTATTAGAATTTTGTTAATTATCGTTTCTTCCTTTTTTATTTTATAGTACTACCATGAACGACCATGTCGTAAATGTCATTCGATTCCACAAGAAATTAGCATCTGTTTGTTGTGTGGAACCATTGTTTGTCTAAAACAAAATTGTTGCAAACAGATGAATGTCTGTGAAGCTGTTCAAGTGAGTACTATACGTATATACATGTTTCTTTACTTGTTTTTTATTTATTTATTATTTTTTTTTTCTTTCTTAAATTCAATAATTGTTAATTGTATATAGCATTCGATCGATTGCGGGGGTGGAACTGGTATATATCTGGTAGTAACGTCAACTTATATTATTGTAATCCGGGGTCGGCGAGCCTGTTTATGGGGCTCTTTGTATCTCGACGACTTTGAAGAAGAAGACAGAGATCTGAAGTACGTAATTTATTTCATAATAGTTTGTTACTAAATTGAATTAAACTTCACGTAGAATTTGGTACCTGGTATATTACGCAGCTATAAATTTAATACGTTATACCATTATTAGAGAAATTGCAAAACGTTGTTCAATTTATTAATACTTCATTATAGACGCGGAAAACCTTTGTATCTAAGTCAAGACAGATATCAATTATTGGAACAGCAGTGGCTAGCGCATAGATTCGATCACACGAAAAAAACATGGGTATGGCATCGTGATGCACTGTGACTTTTTTAGGACGTTATAAACCGATTATTTTTTAAACAAGTTGAAGACTTTCAACAGATTTATTCCCATACAATGCTTCGCCAAAAAATAACAGCGCTTTAAGAATTAACAGATCGCTCGAATACTGTATGGATATTATATTTATTATGATGCAAGTATACATAATATTACATATTAATATAAGTATAAACATAATATTGAATGAAAGTATTATTAAAAAAAAAAAATGAAAAAACGAGGTGAGAGCTGAACTAAAAAACTGTTTATAGTCACAACACCTGAAAGATTATATCTGAAAAAATGTATGTTTTGAATTAAACCTTGTACATTTTATTTAAGAAAAAAAAATATATATATAAATTACGTCCTTATAAAAAAAGTACTTATTTAGTGCGTAGCATTTGTACTTTAGAGACGGAAATGATTGAATTTGTTAAATGAAATTTCGATTATTGCTAGAAAGTGAATAAGTTATGTTATGAAAAATAACTTAATAGTTTCACGTTATTAGTGAAATCATTTTTCTTTTTCTTGAGGTGGATTAAATTTAATGTGTGCCTTTTTTGATGTAAGAAAAAAAAAATACAAAAAGAAAATCCGTTATGTCCTATAATTTATTACTGTAATTACTTTACTGATTATTAAAAACTCCTTATTTCAGAACCGTATTTTGTATTTGGTTTGTTCAGAAATAGAATTTTCTAGTTTACCGTAACTAATTATTGTAAACTAAAAAAATATAGCGCGTTATAGTAGATTTGTAAACATGACAAAATCGAAGACTGACGGTCTTTATTATAGGGACTCTGTTTCTGAATAAATTTAATAACGAACCGAGCACGATACTAAAATATCTGTATAATTTATTGTCGTATCTAATTTGAATCTGAATTGTTCAGGTGAAGCAATAATGTTGATTATGATTGTGCATGGATTGTTAGCTACAAGGTGAAGGGAAAATTTTTATGTATAGATGAAATTGGCAGAAGTATTGTCCTAATAAGGAACAATTCTATAAAGCGATATTTTAGACGTAACTGAGAACAACGTGCAAATTATGTTCAGCATATCGAATTAACTACTTTTCATTATTAATAAATGACCAGAGTCAACAGTGTAGTGATAAGTAAAGGTTGTTGTTAACACCGCATAAACATTACTATTGTAAAATTTCCTCTTGTAAAAATAGCTTTTGTTCGAATTTCATCATGCGAATTATTCGTAGCAGTTCATAGAAGGCTGTAATAAGTATGTCACGAATCAGTGAAAACTTGCGATTCAGACAATATTTGATGCATTATTTTTCTCTATGCATATTATGGGCTGTGTATATTAAACTATATAAATTCATTTTATCGAACGGAACTATTTATCTACTCGCTGAATTTTTTCGCACCGGTGCATAAATACTAATTAACCGATTGAACTGTGGCAAATAAGTTGTTATTGCTTCAGAAAAAGCAAATTTATGCATTCGTTTACATAAAAAAAAAAAGAAAAAGAAATATTCCTGTCGGAACTTCGCTCTCGCGTAATACTTTGATACTCACTAAAACAGTGTTTGCGTAACACACCTTCTGTTGAAGATTTTTGACTTTTGTGATACTACGATTATTGAGACAGAAAATTGCTTCTTCTAGACGCTGGTCACTGTAAATATATAATAATGATAGGACGCCACACAATACAATTATTAGTTCATGCAAGATAATCTGTATACAGTTAAATATATTTAGGAATGTCCGTTTATAACATTAAGGATTTACGTACGTCACGTTAAGAAGTGCTAAAACGTAAATAATAATAGCAATTATCAACTTTGTTCAATGTATAAATAAAAGCAATTCTATTAAATGAAAAAAAAATATCTTTCCGTGTGATATGAAACTATTTTTTAAGCTGTGTTGTAAAGTAAATAGAGAAAGATGAATAATTATTTTTATTTCTTAGATAATTATTACAGGTATTTTATGCTATTGGGAGATGAGATTTGATTGCGAATAGGATGAAACCCAGTAAACATAGAGATCTAATGATTATTACAACGTTGTTTATATCAAAATCATTTTCTGCCTTCGTTACGGAAATTGATAATCTATTTATATGAGAGCATTCTTACCATTCAACGCGATCTACATTTCATAAAAGAGAATACTACTAATGTTATTATTATACCTTACTTATTCTTCCTAACTATAGACATGCCTATTATTTAAATTGTTTTTATTATTTCAATAAATGTTTATTATTTTTTTTAACTCATTGTTTATAAATATGACAGTAAAAGAAAAATGCCGACTAACTTGTACACGTTAGTATACGAAAACTGTACTACTTATCTGTACAAGAATAAGTTTTATTATAATTTGTCGAAATTATGCCCCGCTGAATCATCGAGTATCATGTAATGAAGATGCTTATACAGACATAACAATTTTCGAATGAAATCCACAGATCTTTAGCGCGAATTTGTTCACTTTGTTACTATTCAAATTGTTTTTCTTGAAAGATCAGATTACTAACATTTCTATGTGTTATGATGTTTATCCTTTTCACTGAAATACCAGATATTTTCACACACGATAAAAATGATCTATAATAACATCGAATTCCCAAAAAAGCATCTACATTACTTACATTGCATTAATTACTCCAATGACCATTGAAAAAGAAAAAAAAAATTAACCGTTTATCATATTTTTAAATTACGTTTTCAAAGTTGCAAGTATTTCTGTTACCATTACAATTACATTGAAAAGGCAAAGAGAAAATATTACAATTACTTCTTTTATTATAGATATACCTTAAACGCAACAATTTTGTTAAATCATGTTCACATCATATAATAGTTACTGTGCTATAATAACAAAACTAAAATTTCTCACGTGGATCTCTCACAGTCTAGATCTAAGAATTCAGAAATTTATAAAATGCAAATACATTGCCAAATATTGCTAATGGACAAATCTGATAACATTAAAATATGATTCATTTTTTTTTTTTTTTTTTCCCATTAATTCTCTTTTGTTTTGCTTGTGATGAATGAGTGTCATAGCATGAAACTGATCGTTGATGGTCCTTAAACTTGCCTCAATACAGGAATGTAGAACAGCACATCAAAATGTTACATAAAAAACCAAATTACATAATGCTTTTTTAACATACATATACATACTGATAAACTTGTCCATTTCTTTATGATAGTCACTTTCACTTTAAAAGACATTAAAACTGAATAATAGATTTAATTTCTTCAGTAGTGACCACCTGTTTGTTCTTGGTATACTTCAATTACATCATCATTTTCCATTTCCAACTGAAAATACAATTGATGCATTATATATTTTCACTTTGCTTTCCAAAATATTTAATTTATAGAGTTGTATTTACCTGCTTTGGTGTTTCATCATCATTAATTCTTTTACCATCAAAAAGAAACCTGAGTGATGTCATAGGAACACCCTAAATGAAATTTGGTAATCTCATATAAACTTTCATTTCTGTATGTATGTTTAAATTACATGCTCTTAGTAATATACAATATTCAAAATATCTGTGTTAGTGTACAGAGGATGATACCTTATGAGAGAATAAATAAAAAATAAAATTTTATTTAAAGCTTTATTTTGGAAACTTAACAGTTATGCATGAACTTGTCTGACCCTCAAGTTCGCACACCTTGATATACATTTGTACTGTTTTTGCTTATTCTTGTATTTGTAAACACTGATAATGCCATGGTTTCTATGTTTCTGCTATTTTATTATCAACATTACTTAGTATCTATGAACCTTTTGATAAGACTAAAAGTCTTGTTGCTGCTTTCAATGAGTGTTGGTGTACCCAACTTTCTGGCTAATGTTATTATTATATTCACCAGTATATAAGAAACAATATTCATACCATTCTTTATGGTACCTTTTATGGACATTTTTAAACCATGATCATGATGCAAATGTTTACAATAATGCTGTGCACAAAGTCAAGCTTTTAGTCAAATGCATGCAAAACCAGACCAGTTTTGAAAATTAATTTTCTTCAAAACAAGTCTTGCAGAAAAACAACTTACTCCACAACTTTACTTAATTTTCTCATGAGAGATCATCCCCTACCTACCGGTTCTCTATCTTGTGGTACATGCAAAGTAAAATACTTCTCAATTTAAAATGATCCTGAACCATAGTAAACATTTTAAATTGTATACTTTAGAAAGTATAGAAAAAATAATGTAGAATACACATAGGACATTTCAATTGCATATCATACACTCTACAAAAAGTTAAACTGTTTAACAGAAATTTTGTTAAACCTCTAAGGACTACTTTGAAACAATCTACCCACCATCAAACCTCATAAAATATTGTTTTATTTTACTTTTATTTAAAAAAAAAGGACTAACCACACGATCGCTGTACGATTTCTTGAGTTTACCCATCTGAGTAGTCATCTTTACCCTAAAATGAATTTCATTGCTGTCCTAAAAAAAAAAAAAAAAGAAGTGAAACGATAATGCCGGTTACGGGACGTCGTTATAGGATGGTGTGAATATGGAAAATAAAATCGGTAATTCTTACGTTCCCAACGACTTTAAGCTTGATGTATTCAGAATTCGCGTCGCCTGGGCCGGCTTCGGGTTTTTGCTCCTACACGCAAGGTTAGACCGATTAGATTCGGTGTATGAACGTACATTTTGATATTACGACACATTTAAACCGCTAGATATTGTTATTAATATATCGTTCATGAAAGTGACCAAACTCACCTGATTATCGGACATGGTATATAATTAAATATAACAAATCTCGACCACGCGCCAGAACAGTAACCAAACACAAGCACGCAATATGGCGCCGCGCTTTTGTCAGTTGCACAGTCTTCTAAAAATAAAAATTTTAACGTTAGTGGTACGCTCGTTCGAAAAGACATTATTTTTCGACGACCGACGCGATGCCTCCTAATTTCGTTAAACTTTGACTTCCCGACTTTTTATGGCAATTAAGCAACATTGTTACATTTAAAGGGATGAAATATTAACGCGAAGGAATGCGATTTCCTTTCTTTTTTTCTTTGGTTCTTTCAGAATGATACAATTGATAAAGATGTAATTGTTTGGTACGATGAATTATTCGATGTGGCTAATTCTTTCGGGTACCGTACCATCTTTCAATTTTAAATATGAAATTTTATGTCATTGTATTTACATTGTAATTTATAATCTTTATTGTTAACGAAATAATCTACATTACATCATGAAATTCTAAATTTGGTTTTTTCATTATTTTAATTTCAATCTCGTGCAGGTTTTCAAAAAATGTAATTTATATTTCCGTATTGGCGTTGAATTTGCAACTGACAATCAGTAATCACTGCATGGCTGTAAGTTGCATATTTATTAATTTTGTTTTTAAATTAAACAAATTTTTTTTCACGTAATTTATTTTTATTTGTTTAAACTTATTTGTTGTAGAACTGTGTAACAGTAAATTTCTTTTATTTAGAATACGTGTATTATGCAATATAATTTGTTACAATATTTTCTTTATTCTCTTAAATATATAGATAAATGTCATATTTGGAACGGTTACATATTCATTAAAAGAAAATTCATTAATAGATCGATTGTGATCGTGGGTTCCTAAAACTTTTTTTTGGTAATGTAAATCCACTGTTAATCGCGAATCGCCTTAAAGTATTATTGTTCGTTTCATAAGAAGTAGATTTGATGATTATCAGCTTTCGTAATTCATATGTTTATTCCCATATGACGTGACACATTTTTCCTTTTTCATTACACGGTACGCCTCTAATTGATACGCTACATACATAACATTATTTAAGTTGTATAATAAGCTATCGATCTAACGAATAGATAACTATTTATTAACACGTTGACCGTTAATTCAATTTGATTATTTCTTCAAATTCATATTCGAAACGCTGATACATATTTAAGTAAATAGTAGTTTAATGATTATAAAGCAATTATCAGAGTACATAGGTATTTCATTTTACAGCTTTTCATTTAATACGAAATTTATTCGTATAACAAAATGTTATTTGTTACAATGTAATTGTAGAACAATGCATTCGTAATTCTGAGATCATTTGACAGACCTCACAATTAATGAAACTTTCTGTCCCCAATTCCGGGCTACTAGAACCGTCTTTCAACGTTATCAATTCAAAATGGTAAAAAATTGCATCGTTTATAAGTTCTAACGTTTTCAATGAAAACTAAATATGGCAAAAATTAATTATATATTTCAGAAGTAATTGAATCTGAATCTCATAGAATAATAATATCAGCAAGAAACAGACGCAAGCAAATTTCTAAATTGCGTGCAGGAATTTGTTAAACAATTTTCTGGTTTCCATGACATTATGTACGTTATTGTTTTCACCAATCACGTATGCGTAAGAAAAACGGTCCATCTAGCAACATTTTTGAACGCGTAACTTTAAAATTGCAACTTTGGCAACACTGAATCGATGCAAAATGGCGGAGTGCAAATACGAATGGCGTCGTGGTGAACGGTTGGCGATAAGAGCAAGAGGCATTTGGTCACGCCAACTGAAATCGAGACAACCAATTGAAGAATTAATAAATACAGGGTCTGCTCCACACGATAATAATAAACAGAATATTTATATGTAAAGTGGTTTGCATCATCAAGTACGTTATTGTAGTTCAGCAAGGTTAGAATGTATACAATGAATTTTTATGTAGAACATTGGCGACACGGATAAGTAAATCTTAAAATATATTTTATTTATGGACAATTAATGTATCTTGTTCTATAATGGTCGATTTACACTACAGTTCATAAGTATTAGAACACGTCGAAACATCAATCTTCGAACTGTTGTAACTTCGTGAAAAATGTCTCCTGTTTCGAACTGTGTCAAATTAGAATCGTATAAAAATAGAATCGAGTATAAACAGTCTGAGTTCATCTTGCTGATTTGTAATAACATATGTGTCGATATAAATCGATGCAAGTCTCGCATTTATTATAATTAGGTGGTGTGGTCTCTGTAGATTAGCGTTTTCAAAGGTGGAGAGTGCAGAAGAATGTTTTTAATATACAAAAATGTGTATAATTTAAACATTACTTTATGTTGATTGTCTTGATTTAATGTGGTATTAGCAAATACTTTTGTTTCTATCAGCAGTCGTGCAGTATGGTTGTACTATTTGCAATCAATTAATAAATAGGTATATATTTCAGATATAAACAGATTGTTAAAGAACCCTATATGCATATGTCATTAACATATATTTGTAGTTACAGTTGTTTTATAATATTGCTAGAATATTTCTAAAATATTTTAAATCAATATTACAAAGAAATAGCACTGGAATATTATTTGGAATCTCTTCAAAATACTTATGTAAAATGTTACACAGGAATATTGCAGTAATGTTGTATGTTATACGAGTAATAAATACTGTTTCACCTCTCCAGTTTGAGAATCACTGTGACAATTTAAAACAGTAAAGTGGTTCGTAACTGGTTGCTAGTTTGAGTTAATTACTAGCATTACATTGATTCAAGTTTTATTGGAGCAGGATGATTATGTATTTTAGGAACGTTGCGTCACATCTAAAGAATTACAGTGATTCTCTTTTGAACGTACAAATGCATTGAATAATTATTTAGGCAATTCGTCGTTTTCAATGAGTTTGAAACACACATGTTTGTACGGTGCATGTTTCTTAGTATTCTGGTATTATCTCGTAAACTAAGAGTGAGGGACAATTATTTTTTATGCCAGAACGTTAAAGAATGTGTACCGAATCCCCACCAACATATTTCAAAACTGTTGAAATCCGTGAGGTCGTCTCTTTCGTAAACAATTACCACACACATTGTCCTACGATACACCGCGATTCCGTTGACAATGTTAATATTTGACGAAGATAACTCGTTCGTCGGGAGCAACTCTAGCTAATGCAAAATATACGTAAATAGTAGACCGTAGAACGTTATGGGTGGAATATCGTCTGCTCGGAGCTGGATATCTTTAGAATACCCGTAAGCTGCTCGAAAATTTGTAAGTTCATAGATTAAATTATAATAAAAACGTGCCAAATCAGCTTTCATGCATTTAATCAGGGGTTAATTGCAGGCATTTTTGGTGAATAGACATACCTTAAAATCCTATTCATTTTCGAGACAAAAATTCGAGGTGTGAAATTTTTCAACGGAATTAAAAAATTTCAAATCGTTCTAAAAAAATTATTTTCAGTTGTGGGGGTAAATTACTATCATTTTTTATGAATAGACATACCCTCGAAATCCTACTCACTTTCTAGAAAAAAATTCGAGAAGTTGTGAAATTTTTCGACAAAATTAAAAAATTTCGAATCGTCTTGGAAAAATTATTTTTATTTGCAGGGGTTAATTACAAGCATTTTTGGCCAATAGACATACCTTCGAAATCCTACGCACTTTCGAGAAAAAAATTCGAAAATGTGTGAAATTTTTCGACAAAATTAGAAAATTTCGAATCGTTCTAAAAAAATTATTTTCAGTTGTGGGTGTCAATTACTATCATTTTTGGTGAATAGACATAACCCCGAAATCCTACTCACCTTTTAGAAAAAAATTGGAGAAGATGTGAAATTTTTGACAAAATTAGAAAATTTCAAATCGTTCTGGAAAAATTATTTTCGGTTGCGGGGGCCAATTACAATAATTTTTGGTGAATAGACATATTCCCGAAATCTTGCGCATTTTCGAGAAAAAAATTCAGAACGAGCGGAAGTTTAAACGTTAATAACTTTTTAACGAAGCCTCCATCGACAAATTAGTATTCTTGTTTTTCGTCTTATTTTGACGCTCTAGAATCTCCCATTAAAATTTTTCCCAGGGAACACCCTGTATCTATATTCATATATAAATTCAATATTACTAATCGATTATCATTATTAAAATAAGAAGGTATTCATATTTGTGGTACGTATGTATATTCCAAATATATGAATACTTTATTAATTAAATAATAATATTCGAACAGTAATATTGAAATAGTGATATTCGGTTAGTAATTTTTTAATATCGATATTTGGGTGGTAATATTTGAGAATGGTAATTCGGCAATTCGTGCATTGTTGGGGCGCCACTGTCGCCGATGTATCAGAATTTGAACGCGTGCTAGGCAAAGTTATTTCTACGTTGTGTTTAGGCGGATGTTTCGCGGTGTTTTGCGACGAACGTAACGTGTTTAGAGATTCGTGCACCAAATTCGCGTACTAAAAGTTCTAAATAAAGCATAGAGGTCAACGAAGTACCAGGAAACTTGGTGCAGCTCGGGTAATTTGTATTGGCGCACGCGAGAGGGACGCTGGCGATGCTGATTGGCAGATTACGTTTTATAACCGACGCGAGTAGTCGGTCAATCGAGATTGGCAATTTTCAAATTTTGCTAGCGGCTAATAGTTACAGTGGAAATTGATTACTAACAGCGTAAGAGTCGAGTCAGTTTTATCGTTTCGTTGATTTCACCGGAAGTACTGTGAAATTGCTCAACGCCGTTAACCTGAACATCGTGATAGACATTCCGTTCGTATTGTTGGAGAACGTTGAAATCGTTGCCGCGATCGAAGATCGAACATTTGGTCTTCAGGTTAGATGCTATTTGTTCTTTGTTATTTGTTTTAGCGAGAACACACGTGTGTTATGTGTAATACCAAGTGGTAATCGTAATAATTTATGGCGTGATGATAAGCTGTCGCTCTAACGTTCTGTCATATTCAAATCACGATATTCTAAAAAATGTCGTTCAGTCGTACACGTTACATTTATCTCGACGTTTCATCGGTGTGACATCTTTAAGATTCCACTTCATTACTCTCAGGAAAAGG